GATAGTAGCTACTTTAGGTGATTGGCTAGGGTTTAAGGTGGTGATAGTAGCTACTTAAGGTGATTGGCTAGGGTTTGAGGTGGTGACAGTAGCTACTTAAGGTGATTGGCTAGGGTTTAAGGTGGTGATAGTAGCTACTTAGTTGATTGGCTAGGGTTTAAGGTGGTGATAGTAGCTACTTATGCTGATTGGCTAGGGTTTAAGGTGGTGTTTAGTACACGTTCGGTTTTTGAACGCGTAGACAGGATTAGCCGGTAAAGATTAATGTAAGAATATATTTGATGAAGACTTAAGATTGGTGACTAGAACAACACTAAGCATGGGTTATGAATGTTTATGCAAGACCACTAAATGCTGCATGCATAATGATACATTTTTGTTCTGTTTTAATTATAGTTGTGCTTGTTTTTCGCCCAAGTGTAGGTTTTGTATTTTCGGATCTGTATTGGTTAGAAACTTGTTTTTTCAAGCAAACTAAAATATGTTTGGTGATCTGTGCCTGTTTTAAAATCGGCTCTTGCTTTTCGATCACGTCTTTTAAGTTTATACCCTCTGGGCCATATGTATGTTTCCATATATAGAACACGAGATTGCATCTGAAAGTATGGTATACAATAGACCGATAAAGCCTTCACCTTTTAAAATCAACCTCACCATTACTCCTCAAGCTTCATGACCTTTACTGTAAAAACTCAAACCCTTTGACTCTCAGAAACTCAACCCCTTTGACTCTCACAAACTCAGACCAATTTCAACCTAATACTAGCGGATATCCCCCCCACCCCCCACCCCCCACCACTTCTACTGTACTTTATTTGCTCTGTTAATGCCCCGATGCGCCGCCGTACATGTGAATGTCATCATGAGTACAAAACCATCGCCAGAACCTACACCTACCGACTCAGCCACTACCTGATATTAAAAAAAAAAACGATCCCCGGATTATGAAAATCGTTATGGTATCAATGAAACAAATCATTACAGTCTTCATGCATGAGCAAATAAAATTCTCAAGTTGCGGGATAAAAATCAATAAAAAGCTATTTTACCCCTCTCTTTTTTCCCCTTGCCTTAGTTTTGTATTCCCAGCCATATGCAATCTGTCCCTGTTATGGTTATGAAATACAGCCAATAACACCGCCCGAGGTTAGCTTATTTTATGACGCGTAGTCACACGTCATATTTCACCGCTTTAGACAACCATCTTGTATTCTTACGCCGCGACTGGAAGCTCGTATTGCAAAAAATCGACCCAATCCATTTGCGCAAAATTCGGCTAACGTTTACTTTTAGTATGGGTTTTTTTGTTTTTTTTTTTTTAAATGAAAATACAAAATCTGAGTTTCTTTTTTAAATCTTTTCAGTACTCAATTTGTATTTGCCAGTTACAACTTCTTCATCTGTTTTCTTTAAAATGTTCCAGACATATTTTATTTGACTGTTGCTAGGATTCACACCACGTTCATCTTTCCATCTAAGCTCTGGCCAAATTGGTTCACCACAAAAATCCATTAGTGTTCTTAATTAACCATTGAAACAGTTTTTTTTTCTTTCAAGAATCTCATTTTAAAAATACTCTAACAGATCCAATCAATGTATACGATTTTTTGTCTGTGTATTTGTTAATTTAAAAAAAAAAACGTGAATACACGGTGACAAATTGGGTCGTAGTTGTCATCCATTTCTTAAGAAGTCCGACATCTTTTTGTTAAAAAAAAAACGCTACGACTAATAGTTTTTTTTTTTTTTTTTTTTTTTTTTTTTTTTTTTTTTTTTTTTGCAAACTTGCGCAAGTGAGAAATCATATTTTATCAGAAGTATTTATACTTAACCATGTCGGTAGATAAAGATCTTTTTTTTTCTTTACACCAAAAGTTCATATATATATATATATATATATATATATATATATATATATATATATATTAACATTAAATAGTGGTATTGTAAGGCCCTTTGATCAATTCTATTCCTATCCTATTCGATTTCCCACAAGCCAGTGTTGTGTTAGTTTATGATCCCATAACTTGAGACTTCTTGACATCTGTCCCATTACTATTCTATAATCAAATTCACATTCAAGGACTCCCATAGTATATGTGACATCACTGTCAAACATACAACACATGTCATACTAAACACACGTTCATTTCACTAGTGACGTCAGTATGGACACTCACGTAACCCCTAGCATATAACTCTTGAAAGAAACTCTCCACACAAAAAAATATAATTAGCCACATTCAGCCCCATAGTTGAGTATAGAATATTTTTTTATCCTCTTTCAATGAGGGGGCATAATACACGAGTGAGCAGGCCATGTGCACACATACTCATGACGTATTGATTCGTGGGCCTGATCAAATGAAAAGCAATACTTCTCTCTGTGATTAATAAAGAAATGTAACATTAGGTCCGCTCGTTGCTGAGTTATTTATTTTTTTTTTTGTTATAATCAACTACGTTTTCCTGCGTGTGCATGAAATCTATTAAGTTTGGTCATAATTTAGTGTATGTGGTGATAGCAATATCGCCTATATGTTTAACGTTGTAATAATATGGTTGTGGTACTAGTCTTTTTTTTTTTGTTGCTTGATTATTGTTTAATCAGATGCATTGTCTTAACTTAATTTAATAATTAATTGGTTGTTGACGCGTTCTCACAGATTATTAAATCTTTTCCCATGCAAGTTCGAGATTGTCATTGAATGAATCATCCTCTTATAAGATTTTGTTATGGGACGACGTGGCCTAGTGGTAGAGAGTTAGACTGCTAACCCGAGAGTCTCGAGTTGGAATCCGGATTCAAATGAGTGAAACGTCCCTGAGTCCACCCAGCTCTAACGTGTACTTAACTTACATTAGGTAAACAAAGGCGGCTGGGAATAGTGCTGACCACACTATCCCTTCACATACCGAGGTCTCTGAAGCAGATAAACTCTACTTCATCCGCCCCATGTGTTTGAGGCGCGAACTGGAAATGATGAAAACATTATTGACATTCTGATTTACTTTTTTTTAACGTAAAGGTTAAATTTCAATTCAATTTAAATTCAGGCGAAGACGAAATGAGATAAAGTTACATATTGTGTGTTGAGTTTTGACAAACAATTGGATGGTGTTTCTGTGTTTATTGATTTTCGAGCTTGAAATGTTTTTTTTACCGAAACAAACAGATCTATAACTATACAATAATTTCATCCGTGTACGTTGTGAGAAGTTTCTTCAACTGTTCCACTTGCCGTACGCTTTCACGAAAGTTAATATTTAGGTTTCACCTTCAGATATAGGAAAGTAAAGTTCCCTTTCGAACCTGTCGGCTCACGGAGTAGGTGAAGTAGTGTTCACATATTTATGTAACATCAGCGTATAAGTGATTGTGTGGTCAGCACTATGCCCAGTCGCTTTTGCTTTCCTTAAGTCAGGTACCTATCAGAGTTGGGGGACTCTGGGACGTACTACGATTCCACGGATCCTAACTGGAGACTTTTTGGTTAGCAGTCGTTATATCCAGGTGAAAAATGACACATTTGCTTTTATTTAAAATTTCCCCAACCCCACAAAGTCCATAAACGACGTAAGTCGTTTTTTTTTTTTTTAATTTGTTTTTTTAAGAAAACATCCCTCTCCTCCCGACATTGTCAGAAATTGTTTAACGTATAAAATGACGTCCTACGTGAGTCTTCCAACCTATTCGATTTTATTAAGATTTGTTAAAAAAAAGAAAACGTCTTTTATAAATGATAAATGTGCACTAAGATTTCTTTAAAAGTAACTTTAAAAATTACTTTAAAATTTCTCTTAAAGTCGAACTCGCTATTTCTGAAAATCCACTTCGTCACACTATATCATACAAGTCCAAACTCATCTCATCATCCACCTACCTCCCCCATCCTTACCTAGCAGCCCCATTAGTTAAATCACGCAAGCAGCTTGTGGGTCGCTACCCCCTCCCTCTCTCGATTTTCTAGACAAACAGGTCCAGACCACGACCCCCCACCACCTTAACTACCCGCCACCAACATAGACTATTCGATTGACCCGAAGGTTTGAGCACACCTCTCAGCGTTTTGCCAACAATCTGTTCGCGTTTGATCCGAGATTTTCTCCGTGAACGCTCGTGATTCTCCGTGACTGGTCGATACAGCCCGTAGGAGTTGGGCTAATGCAATACGCCGTAATGTCGTTTTTGTGTGTGAGGAAGGGGGTAGGGGGAGTTTCGTGGACTTCTCCGTATGGTCGAGCCATATGGTGTACTTTACAAAAGTTCCGTCATCACTAAGCGTTGGCTTTTTTTTCAAGCAAACTTCACATACAGTGTATGGCTTAATGTAACAGAGACGTGTATGTTCGTGGGGATATTAACTATAATATAAATAGAAGTTTGTGAAAGTATATATTATACGGTCTAGGTTGTCTTTAGAAAAAAAAATTGTAATGTCAGATTTGATTCGTTGTTATTTGTAGGTAAAGAGAGTAGCATATAGATTGTACTTAATAATGTATAATTTGGCTTATGTTTTTTTTTTCTCTCTTCTTTTTCAGGTACTTGGGATCAATGCGATTCGCGCTCCATAGATCGCCCGTGCCGTCCTTGGTACAGTCTTCCATCCAACCGGTACAGTCTCTCATCCAACCGGTACAGTCGCCCCTCCAACCGGTACAATCGCCCCTCCTGCCGTTCACCCACCTGCCATTCTGTGGGTACTCGATCGGCTTGAAACGATAACTGCGCTGTAAGTCATCTCGCTTCAACAGCTGACTGGGGAGGAACCGGAAATACGTCTTCAGGATCCCCATCCAGATTATTGTTATTTCTGTGTGCTCTCTGGTTTTATCGGCATCGGAGGATAATTTTTTTGTTCTTTTTTCTCTGACGGGATCGTTGAGGGTTTTTATAGAACCTCACTAGACTTGATTCGTTGGTGGTGCTGGACTTAGGATATTTGTTGTGGGATTTTGTTTGTTGTTTCCAGGACTGATTCGGAGTATTCTAAACAATGGCAGCATTCATAGCTAAGCAAGTTGTGGGTGATAAGCTGTCGTCAGTCAAAGGTGAGTTGTATTTTCTTTCATGTGTGTGTGTGTGTTTGTGTAACAAAGTGTTGGTACTGTTGGGTTAGGCGTTCCACTAAAGTACTTATTGAAATAAGCGCTTACAGCTATCCAACCACATGCGGCTAAACTTCTCCCTACGTTAAGGCATTACAATCACCATACTCAAATTCTAATTTTCAAAAAACAACAGCTAATTTAGCTTTTCGTTGTTGTCTTTTGTTTATTTTTTTTTAAGGACGGAAGGGTAGTAGATATATATCCAAATACAAATCTAGGAGGGAGGGGGGGAGGGACTAAGCCTCCCCATACCTTCCGATAGCCTGTCATAGTTATGCGAGTATATAGTAAGAAGCATAAAACCGGGTAATTTCGTTTAAAAGATCCCGAAGTATAAATATGCAGTAGATTTGTTATTTAGAAGGAGGTTTATACCCCCAGCTTCTCCCTAAAAGCGCCTCTTTCGACATACCTTGTAATGATAAATGGTTTTCAACCATTTCGACTATCTCAATCACATTTATTTTTTCTCTTCTTGCGAAAACTGTTCAAAACTGTTGAATTAGTTTATGATGGCACACCTACTTTTGAATGAACTCACGCTTGATTTCTAAGGTCTTGTATCGAATATGTGACACAGTTGTAATGGCATATGTATTATTCAATGTGTTATGCTGTTATAATGACAGACTAACTATCACATTAGTTATACGGTTATAAAGACAGATCTGCGATCGAATGAGTTTTGCCCTGATACCGACAGATCTACTATATTTTATACATTATTTATAATAGTAGACCAACTATCGAACGCGTTATACGGTTATAATGGCAGACCAACTATTACATGAGGTATGCGGTTATTATGGCAGACAACGATCGAATGCGTTATCCGGTTATAACGACAGATATGCTATCGAATGAGTTATACTATTATAATAGCACACCAACTATCGAATGAGTTATACTGTTATAATAGCACACCAGCAATCGAATGTGTTATACGTGTATTATACCAGGCCAACTATCGAATGAGTAATGCGGTTATAATGGCAAATCTCCACGCTCGATTAGCTGATCGGTTGAAACCATTTCAGCCGTGGGTTGCTGGTGTAAACTCATCCATGACGGGAACTTAGTGAGTTACGCTGTGCTGAGTCCGTGTTCGATTATTTGGTGGTCTTGCTCGGGTCATATGGTGTCTACCATCATAGATTCTCGCCTCGGGTCATAGGGTGTCTACCATCATAGATTCTTGCCTCGGGTCATAGGGTGTCTACCATCATAGATTCTTGCCTCGGGTCATAGGGTGTCTACCATCATAGATTCTTGCCTCGGGTCATAGGGTGTCTACCATCATAGATTCTCGCCTCGGGTCATAGGGTGTCTACCATCATAGATTCTTGCCTCGGGTCATAGGGTGTCTACCATCATAGATTCTCGCCTCGGGTCATAGGGTGTCTACCATCATAGATTCTTGCCTCGGGTCATAGGGTGTCTACCATCATAGATTCTTGCCTCGTCTACCATCATAGATTCTTGCCTCGGGTCATAGGGTGTCTCATAGATTAATGCCTCGGGTTATAGGGTGTTTACTATCATAGATTCTTCCCTCGGGCCATAGGGTGTCTCATAGATTAATGCCTCGGGTTATAGGGTGTTTACTATCATAGATTCTTCCCTCGGGCCATAGGGTGTCTCATAGATTCTTGCCTCGGGCCATAGGGTGTCTACCATCATAGATTCTTGCCTCGGGCCATAGGGTGTCTACCATCATAGATTTTTCTTCCCTGTTAATATTGAGCTCCCTTCAAAGTGTTGGTGTTAGATTGCGAAAAAAAAATTGTGTGTAAATAAGTTCTATTTTAGTCTAATAATTGTTTATTGATTTAGCCAGTTCACCGCAGTGTAATTATTTTCAGTTTAAAATGGTTGAAAATCTCTCTAACGTGTTATCAACTAATTTTTTTTTTTTTATAAAGTGGCTAACCAGATTGTGTGCTAGCTATTGTGTGCAAGTCTCCGGCGTGTAAAACCAGACACGTACTCGCCCGTTTGTTCAATCGAATGTTCTAATCTTTTGCGAGTGTGGCTGTTTGAAAACATCCATCAAACGACAAATCATGTCTGATCCATCTATGGGTCCACGAGCTTAAACCTGGTCGTTTAGTGAATCGTTTTTTTTTTTTTTAATGGAGGATAGGTTCTTTTGATAAACGTTAAGGAAAAGAGGGGGGGGGGGGGTGAATTCCTTTAGTGAACGTAAAGACCCTAAGTAGGATTAAGTCTACACAAAACGTCGCGGTTAAACTTCAGTGTAAAAGAAAAAGCGGAGCAAATTTTTTTGAATTTTTTTTTTAAGTTTGAAATTTTTTTAATCGGATTAGAATTTCGTAAAGTGAGGAAGATGGGCACAGATGGTTGGGAATGATGTTTTTTTGGTTTGTTTTGTATGCCGTGTGATGGCCGCTTTTTGTTGTATCTTTGAGCGGCCGAGTGGTTATTGATATAAAAGTAACATTGAAATACGAAGCGTGATTGACAAGTAAGTTCATGTTTTGAATAGAAGCGAGAGATTTTTGTTGTGTTCGTGTTTAGTAAGACTAACTGCTGCGGTTACTTTTAGTTAAGAGTGGATTGTGTTAAATAGGTGACATGACTGGATGTATTATTGTATTCCGACCTAAGCTTTAAAAAGGCGTACGGTCGTTCATCGACCGTTTTAAGCTTTGGTGTTTTAGTAGCATATGGCTTAGGTTTATCCCTGGATGGGATGGCATAACGCAACCTCAGACAACCCCCCCCCCTAAAGCCAACCCGTTGGTGAATCGATGGTAGCCGGTTTACCGTTTTCGTTCAATAGAGGTGTTAGCGCAGGTCTGCCGGCTAACTTTAGGCGGTTATCGGATTTACAAAACAGACGGCCTGAATCCATTTTAGTCCTGCACTCACTCAAATATTCAGTTTATATTTTATCGATTTAGATGGAGAGAGATGCATTAAGTGTATATATATATATATATATATATATATATATATATATATATATATATATATATATATATATATATATATAATGTTGGTGATACTATAAGCATTATGTTTGTTTTCGGTTTATTTCTTTGCCAATTTTTGTTAGATGTATTTTTTTTCTTCTTTTTTTTTTAATTTTTTTTTTTGCCTCAGGCATGTAATTTACAGCGTCAGTTGTGTGTGTTCGCTTTAGTATTACAGTTTTCATCACCGGCTTGTGAGGACTGATTCAGATTTACAATAGTAATATTTCTTTCTTACTTGTAGCCTACTTTCATTCATTTAAGATGGTTTACTTATACATAGATCTAATACAAAACGTCTAAATATAAAAAAAAAAAAAAAAAAAAAAAAAAAAAACCTGAAAATGCAAATGTGAAATTAAATGATTCAATGGATTTTTTATTTATTTTTTTTCTTTATTAATCACCATTATTTGGTCTGACTCATTAATAGTTGTTGTAATAGTTTACCCCTTATATATGGCGTGATATCAAACTAGATTTAGTGTTTGCTTTTCTAAATACATTCAAGATTTAAGGTGTGGCATTTAAAAATAAAAATACGAATGATGCTGTAACATTGCCGTTTATATAACGCACTCGGTCCTAATGATCTTAAAGTGCATTTTTTAGATCATCCGTCGTATACTTACGTAATTTTGATTTCAGTTTCCGAACATTACTCTAAAAAAACGTTGTCTCCCTTACATGCTTTAAAATAGCTTAGGTAAAAATAAAACCACTGAGATAAAACAGTGGTAACTGATGTAAATACTGCATTACATGATGAGTAATGAAGAGTTATAGACGTCCGCACCATCGTCTTCTTACCCGTCTGTTTTTTTTTTTTCAAACTTGCGTGATAAAACATGCGTGTCTTTGACCTGAATGTGGAATGAGAAATGACATTTTTTTTTTATCTTATAGATTCCGATTTTGTATGCTTTTAAAATACTTTAGCTTATTTTGTTGTATATGTTGCATGTGCGAAATGCAAAAGGAGCAGTCACTTTTATTGTATCGTATAAATTCCTATTTTGTATGCTTTTAAAATACTTTTGCTTATTTTTTTTTTTTTTTTTGTAAATGTTCCGTGTGCGAAATGCGAATTGAGAAGTCACTTTTTTTTCTTATAGATTCTGATTGTGTACGTTTTTAAAATGTTTTTTTTTTTGCATATTTTATTGTCAATGTACCATGTACTCGAACTTTACATGAATCAATTGATTGTTTAATGGAGATGAGGTGTTTCAATTTTTTTTTATTATCAATGTATCGATTGATTTAAAACTTAAATCATGTTTTATAACGAGATCAACCCTTTAAAATAAGTCTCTGTTATCCAATGGGTGACTTTATTTAAGTCTTTTGAGTTTACCTTACTTGGGAGAGGGGGGGTTAGAAAAAAAATGGTTTTTGTTTACTCTGACCGCTACTTGATTGCTTTTAAAATTTGTAAATTGTTTGAATCGATTGCGGAAAACAAATTTAACACGAAACCTAATAATTGGGGAAATTTAAATTAGTGTACACAATACTGGGATGGGATGGCGTGGCCGAAGCGGTAGAGTGCTAGGCTGCTAATCCGAAATTCTCGGGTTGGAATCCGGGTCCAAGTCAGTAGAACGTCCCTAAGACCACACGGTACCTAACTTATGTTGGGGAAAGTAAAGGCGGCTGGGCAAAGAGCTGACCACACCTTCTCTTCACATGCCGAGGTCAAGAAATATATTAACTCTACTTCATCTTCCAAATTATCGCTAGATCTATAGTATTCTTTACTAACACAACATTGGTAGGCTACATAGAGCTATGGGGGTTCTTTGGTAAATTAAAAAAAAATGAGAATATACAAAAGGAATTTTGAAACATTGTGTTTTGTTGTTCTGTGTTTAAATGACTAAACAAATGGCACAGTGATGGCGAATATAATAAAAACAGCTGCTTAGTGATTATACACAACAT